TATCTCAACCTAAAGTACGTTTTCCTTTCCCTAAGAGAGACTTTCTGACATCCTTTTATACGCAGAAACACACACACACACACACACACACACACACACACACACACACACGTATATGTACATATATATACATACACATACATACACATTAGACAGATATTTTCCCAGATAGAAGCATATTAGTATGATTTTCATATATATTTATCAGTGTTTTATTATTTAAGCATATATCCAGTTATACTGTTTTCTCATTCTTAAAATTGTATATGAGATTCTCTATTTTGTCCTACATTACCCTTACCAAAAGCTGCTGATCTTCCAGAGAACAAGATCTCAGAGTATGCATTACTTCCTATTGTTTCTCTGCATTCTAATTTATTTATATTTTCTCTTACCTTCCCTTAAATTATCAGTTTATTTTCTTGCTCATTTCTTAGCTTATTGGATTGGATATTTACTAAGAGTCTTAAAACACAGAACGAAATGACAACTAACTTATGGTAGCAAAATCTCTATCAGCAACAGACATAATTCTTCTATTAGGTAAGATCATCAAGAATTGATTATAACATGTTAAATTTATCTGCATTCTGAAATCTAATTCCTAATAAAATATTTAATGTTTTACTGAATTACCTGCTTAAATATCATTTGGAACAGACTGAGACGAATCCATAGCAACAATGAAAGGACACTGACTATTTCTTAGCCTAAAAATCAATTATATTTCACATAGCAGTGAGTGGTATAGTGAAGAGGTTGAAAGTGAACTGTATATTTTTAAAATTTGACAGTGTAAATCACTGAGCCATGATTCATCTGCTTTGCCTCTGAAAATGTATTATACATGAAAAGACAAATCAACATCATAATGCAGATCTGTTTAACCTGGTCTTAATAATTTCTTGTATGAAATATTAGATTGTAGTAAATTTGACAATATGAATAAAGGGTAAATACAAGGTTGTACAATAAATGCATGATATCTATTGTTATTAAGAGTTGAATTAAGTACTGTTTTAAATTTCGTATAACTACTCTCTGTAAGCAAGGATTCAAATGATATCCAATGATATTATAATTGATAGCTTTAGATTTTAAAATGCCTTCTGTATTACTTTCTTCTTGAAGGCAGCTCTTAGCACAGGTATGCAAACCCAGTGATAATCTTCTTACCAAAATTCTACACCATGAGTTCAGCAAACTCACCAGCAATTATTAAAAACTTACATCCTCTATTAGATTTCATTCCAAATATTTTATTTCTCTATGTAAAGGTTATTTTTTTCTAAAATTGAAACATACATATTGAGGCTTTCCCCCCGCAAACATTTGGTTTATTTCTGCCTAAAGAACTAGCACTGTTGCGCAGACGTACAGTCAGAATGCCTTAGGTTCATATATTGGCTCCTCTATTTACTTTCTGTGTGACCTTAGACACATTACCTCTGAGTTGCATCTTCCTTGTGTTATAGACTTCCTTTGAAGAAAAACTATGATAACATACGTAAAGAACTAAGAGGAACATTTAGCACATGCAAGTGACTGAAGCTATTGCTAGTAAAGAAAAAAAAGTTATTCCATCATTTTACAAACATGGAACACAACTCTTGTGTGTACCTCTTAGACATAACTTGATTTCATGCCTGAAAAAAAGCTGTCCTCAAATTTTTATGATCTCATAAGGTGATGTTCACTAAATTTCAGATAGAAATCTCCATCACTCATACTATTGCTTACTTAATATTTTCCCAGATCATTCCTACTTTTCCTCTATCTTCACCTATATCAATGTTCATATGTGCTACTTAGATGTAAAAGTTACACTGAGGGCGTAACAAAAGCATACGATTCACAAAAAATTTCTAAAATGCAGGAACAAATATAGGTATTCCATGCCAATTAATACAAATAGGTTTGTTCTAGGCTTCTGTCATAAAACGTCTTTAAAAGACATAACTATAACTGATTATAGGAAAAGTGATTAATGCATGCTATTATCTCAAAAGAGTATTATCAGGTTATGTGTCCTAGAAAGATTGAGCAAAGCAAATTTCTCCTTTTTTAGGAGTTAAAATAGAACAAGGAATAACTTCTGTATATCACAAAAAATTATGTACATCTCAAAACTAAAATTTGCTACTTCATAGTCTAAACTTTCCATGAGAAAACTTTTCTCTACCTAAGTAGAAAACATTTTTCTACTTAGGTAAAAAAAAGTTTGTTGTTATAAATATGATACCAAACATATTTATATTATAGATTATAATGAATCTATGTTGGTGTATTTTTAAATTATTTGATTAAAAAATCACTGAAAAGTTTACCTATTTTAAAATAGAATTATTGAATTCTGTCAAATACATTGGTTACAAAATCCAATACTTCCAAATCATTGCCAAGATTTCTTGTGGAATTTAAGCCTCTCCATTCAGGCTGACAGATAAGTATGATTTAAAGACCTGACATATTAGAAAAACATATTGTGGAACTATATTTGGCATTAGGGAAAAAAAATCGATCTTGTCAATAACTACTTTTCCAGCAAAGATTTTTCACTAGGGTTTGGGAAGGTCGATTCATATGCTGTCATGATTTACATAGGTATCCACTGACAGACAAAGCCTTAAGATGTAATTTTAAAATCACAGGTAAAGTGAAATTTTCTAATTGAATACACTTCTCTTCTCAGTAAAGAATAAGTCTGGATCAACACTTTGAATCCTTGCCCAACAGGTATCACAAAGAGGTGGGCAATGTTTTAACCAGAGACTATGGATAAGACAAAGAAAACCATTTCAGTGAAGAGGTGTTAGTTGTTCAGGTTAGTTTTCCTCCAAAAATATATGAAGGATGGGAACCAGAAAAGTAATATCCCATGCTGCAAAGCAAGAGGCCCCTTTGACGTCACTTTTGGATGCAAGAAGTGTAAAGAACATATGTGTGACTTTATTAAACTGATAAGGTTCTTTTTCGTACAATAAAAATAATAAAATATAGTAATATAACAATATTTAGACAAAGAGGACTCAAGCCTTTGTAGGAGTATCCTAAATAGTATTTTCATTCAAGAAAAGTAAAAGATACAAATTCAAGTTACTTCAGCAAAGAAGATGGTAATATACATGGTGAAACAGGACACAACAGAGACTGGGAAGAAGGAACAGTGCCGGAGCAGGTGTGCTGCATGTGAAAGAATTACAGGTGACAAAAGAAAAAATTAAACACTGTGCAAGCCGACACAAAACATATCTACTGGCCTAATTCAGACCACAGGCTGCTAGATTGAGATCCCAGTGTTAAGCCTATGAGGTTAAAGACAAGGTCAAGGTATGAACATAAAATTAACTGCGCTCATCCTGTCTGCTTTCCCTTAAATATCTAGGTTTTTCCCTGTTCATTTTTAGTTAAAATTTTTTTAAAAATTATCTGTGCCTTTAGACTTAGCCAATACAAAAGATTCTGGTAACCAGAGTGCACTTATTTTAAAAGTTTGTAGATTACTTTGATACTGTCAATATCACATAGCATTCATTAAACATAAGCGGCAAGCATCTTATTTTTCCTAGGATCAGTCACCTTCCTATAGAGAACCAGTCTGCCTCCATTGCATTCCAACTCTGGAGGTGCTGTCAATGGAAGTGACTCATGGCCCCTCCCACATTGCTCAGCGTTTCACCAAGAGAGGACACAGGACTGCAGGAAGGTCAGTGCAACAACATTTTCTGGGATTAATACAGGCACCAAGACAAAATATTTCTCTTTCCTTCTGAGACTGAGAAGAGTCAGGATGCTATAGTCATAAAGGCACAGTAATCCTCTTTCCCATTGTTACAGAGTACTCAGAAGATGGACCAAACCCAGAAGAAACTGGAGGCACAAAATGGAGCAACACTCCTGAAACAGTATCAGGCACTGGATCTAACTAGGTCTGAATCTAGTCAACCCAGGGATTTCCAGTTAGGGGAGTTTATACATTCTCTGGTGTGTTTAAGCAAGCTTAAACTAGATTTCTGCCACTTACAAACAAAATGTTCTCACAAATATGAGACGACGAAGAGATTTAGGTTTGGTTTGCATTTGTCTACTCACATAACTTTGTACCACCTAGGACTGTCCACTCGAACAACAAAACCAATTTTTCCCCTGGGATTTTTCTAACCCAGCATGCAAGGATATTCTAAATTATCCCAACCTCACTGATAATCATCAGTGCCTATGAAGAGGAAAACAAGAAAGAATTATGACCTTACTCACTCACTTTTCTGGTATACCACATATTCTTATATACTTTGACACAGCACTTTTTTTCACTGAAGACAAAATCTACCCTTAACAATTAAGGCTGGGCACAGTGGTTCACACCTATAATCCCAGCACTTTGCAGGGTGAGGCAAGAGAACTGCTTCAGGCCAGGAATTAGGCTCCAGCCTGGGCAATATAGTAAGTCCTCATTGCTATAAAAAATTTCAAAAATTAGACAGGCATGGTGATAGGCACCTGTAGTCTTAGCTACTGCAGTGATGAGGCAGAAGGATTGCCTGCGCTCATGAGTTTGAGGCCGCAGCAAGCTATGATAGTGTCTCCGTACTCTAGCCTGGGCCATAGAATGAGATACTGTCTCAAATAATAACAATAATAATCAACACATGATTTGCATAACTCATACATAACAGGCTTATTTTATGAACTCATCTAAGTATTAATTGAATAAACATTTTAAGAACTAAAAGATATTTAAACCAATGTTTATGTTACATGGCATACTACTTCCAAAAAATTCAGCCGTTAACATACAAGTACACATGAATATGGATGATGTGGCCCAAAACAGGGAAATCACAACTACCCACCACCTAATCATCTCAGAGGCATGAATAACAAAAAGATATTTCAGTACAATAGCTATCATCATCTCCATTTCTACCAGTTAAATCAATAGTCCCTCTCAGGGCAGATTTCAAAGATGAACCAAACCAGAGAAAGCAAGGCATACTCACAAATTATAAAGCATGTCAGCCATGTTGCTGCGGTAATACAAAGCATTTCTGTAGGCGCTTTCAGCTTCAGAAATTTTGCTCTGACTCTTCAGAACATTTCCAAGGTTACCCCATGCTGCCAAGAAGAAAAAGAAATTTTCAGACTGAGCATCAATCCAATTATACATGACATAACATCAGGCCACCAGGAAGTACCACAGGGAAAGAAAACCGTCATAAAACATTTTTAAGAAGGAAAATGTATTTCCTTTATATGCTAACATTTCATCAAACCAGGAGATTAAGTATAATCAAAGCCCTAAAAAATTAAAATAATTATTATGTTTCTAAGCTGATGTACATATACAGTTCATCATAAGGCCAAGAACAATGTTATCTTAAGATCACCTACAAAGGCTTCATGTTCTTCCAGATTTCAGTAGGGGTCTTCATGGTCTGAAATTATTGTATACTTACTGGGCCAGAAACTGCAAGAAATGATCTTAAAATAAACAAATATTTCATTCAAGTATGAAAAAACTGATAAATGGCATAGAAGATCTGGAGATGAAAAGCAAAAAAAACTAAACAAGATCAAAGCTATAAAGAACCTTACCAGGCATCAGAATACATCAATAAAACATTATAGACACAATGTTCTTTTATATTCTTTCTGCTTATGAGCTTATGTCTGGGAAAAATAGCTATTTCCACACCTAATCATGTTGAAAATTAAATAAATTTTCTGTGTGCCCCCTCTGTTCTCCCCAAATCATAGTAATTTTTCAACATTAAAAATAACAAAAGGCATAGCACCAATAACTGCCCAAACAGCATGGCTCTCAAATGGACTTTGCCCTCAAACTTGGCTGCTTCTCTTGTCTTCTTTCTCACCCACAAGGAGATGGGGTATTGCATCCTGAAAGCCGAGTCCCCCAGAAAAAGATGGGGATGAGAGGAAGGGTCATATGAGTTGAGATATATTTATTTGGGGGTAATTACTGACTGTACCTGAAAAATGAAAGGGGTTTTGAGTATCAATTTTAATGCAAAAAAGAATACAACATCTTTCCATCTCAGATTTGCCTGTGGGCCTCTATGAAATTTAATACTCCTGTGCTTCAGTTTACTTTACCTGTAAAGTGGGACAATAGTGTCTCATGTGTTTCATGATGAAGATGTTAATACATACAAGCTGTTTAAGACAGTGTCTGAGGCTGGCACTATGTCTTACACCTGTACTGGCGCTTTGGGAGGCCAATGAGGTGGGTGGATTGCTCGACCTCAGGAGGAGTTTGAGACAAGTTGGGGCAACATAGTGAAACCCTATTGCAACAACTAATACAAAAATTAGCTGGGCGTGTTAGCACGTGCCTGCAGTCCCAGCTACTTGGGATGCTGAGATGCAATGATTGCTTGAGCCCAAGAAGTCGAGGCTTCAGTTAGCCATGATCACACCACTGCACTCAAGCCTGGGCAACACAGTGAGGTGAGGCCCTCTCTCAAAAAAACAAAATAAAAAAACAAAGATAGTGCCTGACACATGGTGAACACTCAATAAATACTGCTATTAATATTATTGTGCTTGATACTCCTTACAATTTACAACAGTGAAGCATTGTTTATAAAAATAACATTAAATACAATGTATTTTATGCCCTTATGTCATCTACAGAGAACATTAATCCTTCATATTTGCAAAGTCATATATCTTCTTTGATTCTGATGGAAAACAGGGGAAAGACAATGAACTCACAATTATGCAACAGCTAATAGTGCCATGTACCATGCCACACACTTGACATGTATCATCTCACTGAGCTCCCAACATAGTTCCATACATAAATGGCCATTCCCTAGATGAGGAGACAGACTCAGAGGCACTAACAAATTTTTAAAGTTAATACTGAAGTGTTAGAGCAAACACTCTAATCTGACACTGGCTGCTTCCAAACTTTTTCTACCCTCTACCTAATATTTTCATACCACTTTTCATCTTTGACTGAAAACCAACATTTGCATAGGCGCTGGCACTGAATCTATAGAAAATTGCATCCTTTAAATTAAAAATAAAACAGTGTAAAATATTGTCAAATTAAACTACTAAATGAAAATGAAATAAAATTAGGAAAATAGTAAGATAAATTAAAATTATCTTCAAACATAATAGGTGTAATATCATAGGTATTCTGTATGTACTATAAATTAGTAAGATACATCTTCATGGAAATTTCTAATGATTAGGCAATTTTTAAATCCCCATTCCTCCCGAAGTTCTACTCTGATTGTGGGAGTCATAAATGAGAATATATTTACATTGAAATCTCTCTGAGAAATGCATTCAAATATTAATTTAAGCACCAGGAAATTCTCATTATAATGCTATCCGATTCTGATAGTAGTCCTAGAACATAGATGATTAAAAAAAGTAACAGCAAGGACATAAGTTTGAATATTTTAAGGCATATTTCCAGAGAAAGAAGTTGATTTCTTTAGATACTTACATCTAAAATAAATAATAAACTAGTAAATGCTTCTCTTGTTGGCAACAGACACATACAGGAATGAATATCTTGCAGATGTTGGGGATTTAGGTCCAGACCACCATAATAAAGTGAATATCACAATGAAATGAGTCACTTAACACTTTTTGGTTTTATAGTGCATACAAAAGTTATATTTACACAATAATGTCTAATAAGTGTGCAACAGCATGATGTCATTGTTTTTTAGACATCTTAATCAAAAAATACTTTATTGCTAAAAAATGCTAACAATCATCTGAGTTTTTTTTTTTTTTTTTTTGAAAGAGGGTCTTGCTCCATTGCCAGGCGCCAGGCTGGAGCACAGTGGCGCGATCTCGGCTCACCGCAACCTCCGTCCCCCAGGTTCAGACAATTCTCCTGACCCAGCCTCCTGAGTAGCTGGAACTACAGGCACGCAACACCACGCCCAGCTAATTTTTGTATTTTTGGTACAGACGGACTTTCACCCTGTTGACCAGGACGGTCTCAATCTCTTGACCTTGTGATCCACCCAACTCAGCTTCCCAAAGTGCTAGGATTATAGGCGTCAGCCACCGTGCCCAGCCAATCACCTGAGCTCTTGGTGAGTCTTAATCTTTGTGCTCATGGTAGGCCTTGCCTCAACACCAATGACTGCTGACTGATAAGGGTGACTGATGGTTGTTGAAGGCTGGAGTGGCTGTGACAATTTCTTAAGGTTATATAATATTCTAATCTTTTAGTGCTTCATTGTCATTTTGGCAATGTTCACAGCATGGTCACCAGGAGTAGATTCCACCTCAAGAAACCACTTTCTTTGCTTATCCAAAAGAAGCAACTCCTCGTCTGTAAATATAGTATCATGAGATTATAGCAATTCAGTCATATCCTTAGGCCCACTTCCAATTCTAGTTCTCTTGCTCTCTCCATCACTTCTACAGTTCCTTCCTCCACTGAAGTCTTGAGCCCCCAGTATCCATATGGATGCATAACTATTGAAGTCAACTTCTTCTAAATTCCTGTTAATGTTGATATTTTGACCTCATTCCATGAATCACAAATATCTAGAACGGCAAATCCTTTCCAATTGTTTTCCATCATAGATCACCATAACAGATACAATAATTAAAACATTAAAATATTGTGAGAATTGTCAAAATAGGAAAGAGACATGAAGTCAGCACATGCTGTTGGAAAAATGGCACTGACAGGCTTGGTTTATGCAGGAGTGCCACATTTAATTTGTTTTTCAAAAAAATACAATGTCTGAGAAGCACGAGAAAGTGACATGCAAGAAAATGAGATATGCCTGTCGTCCTATCTAAGAATACATGTTCACTCATTTGGTTGACTGTTCATTTATCCATTCATTAACGTATTCAATATTTATTCATTCATTAAATAGATATTTGTGAGACACCTATTTGGTGCCAGGAAACTCGTGAGGGGCTGGACACTCAGTACTGTTCAAAATAGTCTATTCTCACCCATGTGAGCTTACGCCAGAAATGGGAGATGGAGATACTGGAGGGAGGGTGGGATCCATACAATAAAACAAATGAATTAACTTCAGATAGTGATGTGTCATAAATAATGCAAAATAAAGATGATATGAATCAGGCTAATTTTAGGCAAAGATATCACAGATTTAGGAAAATAGGTACAATCTCTAAAAAGTAAAGGACAAGGAGCAAGCCTAGCAAGGACTGCTGATGCCAGATAAGGAAAGTACAGCAAAGAATCTAAGACAAGAATGCACTTGATGTTTCCCAGGAATACCAGTCAGGTGAATGGCTGCAAAATGAGAAGGAAAGTCAAGGTGAAGTCACAGAGATAGGCAAGGGTCCAACCAGATAGGGTCTGACATGCCAAGATAAGCGGTCTGGGGGTTATTTTATTTGAAATGTTTGGGGATAAATTTTCAGCAAGGGATTTTTGTGATTTGACTTTCATTTTTGAAAAGTCAAAATGATTTCTTCTCTGTGGAGAAGGTACTCCCTGCAAGAGAACTAAAGGAACAAAAGGGAGACCGGTTAGAAGGCAACTGGAGTAATCTAGGGGGCAAAATTATGGTTTCCAACAGAATGTATGAGCAGCAGAGATGGCTATTTCAAAATGAGAGAACAACTTAGAAATTAAAAATCATCAACAAAGTTAACTGAGGCAATGTCACAATCTGATACTGGGTTTCATGCTTTTTATCAAAATGAAAATCTTTCATTTCTTATGATTAATTGCTCTAGATGCCTGCAAAAATCTTGTTTTCCTGTCGTACACACACAATCATACACAGTATCAGCTTCAGGCAAAGTTACTCTGAGACCATGACAAAGTAAAACAAATAAAAACCACCTCATAATTTTGTATAAACACAGAAAAAGGAAAAGGTCACTGTAAAACCCACAAAATACCAAACATCCTCCTCTCCTGCTACATGAATGATTTCTTTATCCAGGCATAGAATTGTCCTGGTATTCAATCAAAATAAAACCCACACTTCCTTAGACTCTCTTCCAAATCACCCAACCAAAGTCAAAATTCTATAATTGGACATATAATGAGATGCCCCAGAATTCTCCATGGTTTGGCTGTTCTCTGTCAGTGTGAGAAGTAGTTAAGCCAACTTTTATTT